GTCTGTCCCACTGTATCTGTCTTCTCTTGATTCTGAGAACTCCTCAAAAACGAGACGGCGAGACTCAAGGGGCTTATCCTCCAAACAAATACATTTACGGCGTCTCAAAATAACATTAAAAATTACTCAAACACGCACGAATCAGTCCAAAAAACAACTTTGGGTGACTAAATGATGAGAGGAAACGGATATAACTAAAAGCTCTGAAAAGTCGATTTTGTATTCAGACAGAGTAAGACGAGGAGGAGGAGGAATAAGTGACAAAAAAATGACAAAGTTTGCGCAACGCCACAGGGAGCTTCTGATGCTTTGTATAAGATGCGTTCTCATAATCTCAGCGACACCATAAGAACTAAAAATACTATCTTAAGGGAGCTATATGTGTCTTAGATTGCACCGAAAGTCTGAAGCTGTCGTACTTTGTTTATTTAAAAGTTATATTACACTATTTCTGCTGTGTCCTTCTCCATTTTTTTGCTTTAATTAGTCTTGGTTTAGTCATGCTTTAGTCCTGATATTGTTCCTTTTAACTTCAAGGCTCATAGTACTTGTGTTTTATCAGTTTGCTTTGAGTTAGATAACGTTTTGCCTCAGGAGTATTTAAAAGCCAATTAGTGCATTGCCGGTAGCGTGGAGTTTCTCACTAGGCAGACCCAAAATGCGTTTTGTCGTTGTGTCCTTGAGCAAAACTTTGACTTCGCCTTGCTTCCAATGCCAATGAAGTTATCAAAACACTTTCAACATGAAGTTTTACGCTTAAACTGTAGTACTAATAAGAGAGGGGGGACTTGCAAATCATTACTTGGACCCGAGTCAGACTTGAGACTTGGCTTGATAAAAAGGACTTGATTTGGACTTGAAGGTCAATGACTTGGGACTTGAGCCTTGTGACTTGAGAAGTTTTAATGCTTTTAGAAAATACTTTTCTCTTTACAGCTGATACATGTGATGGTTAATTTTACAGGAACATGTCCCTCGCACTTCTGTGTTTATCACTTTGGGAGGAACTGAAGTACTGTGATAATGTATCCTCAAATGTACAACGCAGTACAATACAGTAATACACAGTACAGTACAGTAAAACAGACGGAACTACAAAGAACATGATTCTTCCATTTCAATGTAGACGACGCAACAAAATAACATTATTTAGCTCTTTTAAATCTGAATTATTTCTATTCTGACTGTAATGATTCACACCCAAGATCTTGTCAAGACATTTAAAAAGGAAAAATTGGCATTTCTACAACTCTTATATAAATACTCATGTATAAATATACCATGATTTTGAAGTACATTAAGAACAATTTAGCTTAAAAGTCATATAGATTGCAAAAAATCTAAAGATTTGAAATGACTTGAAGTTCAAAGCAGACGACTTGGACTTGACTTGGACTTATGTGGCCTATTTCAGAAGCTGAGCAAGTCCGGGCCTGTTTAGTACTTGGATGGGAGACCACTGGGAATATCAGGTGCCACAGGGGGGCACCAGTCGCAAAAAGTGTCGTTGTGTCATTAGGCAAGACACTTCACCTACATTGCCTAGTATGGAAGTGGTGTGTGTGTGTGTGTGTGTGAGTGATGGTGGTGGTTGGAGGAGCCAATTGTGCAGATTGGTAGACTCACTTCAGTCAGTCTGGCCCAGGGCAGCTGTGGCTACAGTGTTTGTTTACCACCACTGAGTGTTGAGTGAATCAATAATGAACTGTAAAGCACTTTGGGTATCTTGAAAGACGCTATATAAATGCAATAATTAATGAATAAATAATTATGGGGTAGTGACTCAAGACTTGCCTGTATTGACTTGGGACTTGACTTGAGACTCGTAAAACAACAACTTGATCCCACCTCTGACTAATAATAAACACACTATTTCTATAGCACTTCTTATGGTCACACAAAGACGTTTGACAATAAAGTAAAACTAAAACAAGGACAAGACAGACAAACACGGTAATGAGGAGCAGTCGTGTGTGGAAGCTGTCGGCGGAGAGGAAAAGGCGTGTTTGGAGCAGTTTTGAAGGTGTTTAGTGAGTTTCTGATGTGAAAACGGAGAGAGTTCCAGAGGGTTTGGGCAGCCGTGGCAAAAACGACATTGCTTATTTAATGCCAGCCTCAATTCGCTGGCCTCGGCTCTGTTGTCAAGGCCCGTCTGCGTTTTCCCAGACATGAAAAAGATGCAAATAACTGTTTTCGTTTTTTTTTTTTTTTTTGCCGTCAGCCCCGAAGCGAAATAGACCGTCCCGGCGCGGATTCACCCTGTCACCTCTGTTCTTAATTTGTGTGTTTTTTTTATTTCTGTGTGCAGTTGTGCGGATGCGGCCTGCTCGGGGTGGGCATCTGGCTGTCCGTGTCGCAGGGCAGCTTCGCCACCTTCTCGCCCTCATTCCCCTCGCTCTCGGCCGCCAACATGGTCATCGCCGTGGGAGCCATCGTCATGGTTACGGGCTTCCTCGGTTGCCTCGGCGCCATAAAGGAGAACAAGTGCCTGCTCCTGAGCGTGAGTACTTTTATTTATTTATTTTTGTTCTGTTCACATCTACAGACACATACAGACAGGCAGTGGTAATGATAATATTTCTTTGCCCGGGGTCACGTTGAATTGATTGATTTGAAGTCGAGGTTTTTTGGAAAATGTGCTGAGCAGCTCTAAGATCTTGAACCACTGAAATCATGAACCGAGGACGATGTAGGAATTAAAATAATCATGAGTTCTGCGCTGTAATGACACGGTGCGAAACACATTTGTGACAACACACATTTCTTAAATGAATGGGCCCTGGGTTCTTGAGGCTGTAGTAGTAGTACTAGGAGTAGGAGGAGGAGGAGTAGAAGTAGTAGTTGTTGTTGTAGTAGCTGTAGGCCTGGTAGTAGGAGGAGTAGGCATAGACGGTAGGCACAGGAGTAGTAGGAGGAGGAGGAGGAGGAGGAGAGAGTTTTAGTAGAAGTTGTAGTAGTAGTAGTAGTAGTAGGAGGAGGAGGAGGAGTTGTAGTAGAAGTTGTAGTAGTAGTAGTAGTAGTAGGAGGAGGAGGAGGAGTTGTAGTAGAAGTTGTAGCAGTAGTAGTAGTAGTAGTAGGAGGAGTTGTAGTAGAAGTTGTAGCAGTAGTAGTAGTAGTAGTAGTAGTAGGAGGAGGAGAGGAGGAGTTGTAGTAGAAGTTGTAGCAGTAGTAGTAGTAGTAGTAGTAGGAGGAGGAGTTGTAGTAGAAGTTGTAGCAGTAGTAGTAGGTAGGAGGAGGAGGAGGAGTTGTAGTAGAAGTTGTAGCAGTAGTAGTAGTAGTAGGAAGTAGGAGGAGGAGTTGTAGTAGAAGTTGTAGCAGTAGTAGTAGTAGGAGGAGTTGTAGTAGAAGTTGTAGCAGTAGTAGTAGTAGTAGTAGTAGGAGGAGGAGTTGTAGTAGAAGTTGTAGCAGTAGTAGTAGGAGGTAGGAGTAGAGTTGTAGTAGTAGAAGTTGTAGGAGTAGTAGTAGTAGAGTTAGAGAGTAGTGTAGTAGAGGTAGAGAGTTAGTTGTAGCAGTAGTAGAGTAGTAGTTGGAGTAGAGGAGGTAGTAGAGTTGTAGAGTTAGTAGTGTAGTAGGTAGTAGTAGTAGGAGGTAGGAGTAGTTGTAGTAGTAGTAGTAGTTGGTAGTAGGAGAGAGTAGTAGTAGTGTGTAGTAGTTGTAGAGGAGTTAGTAGCAGTAGTAGTAGAGTAGTAGAGTAGGAGGAGGAGTTGTAGTAGAAGTTGTAGCAGTAGTTGTAGTAGTAGTAGTAGTAGGAGGAGGAGGAGGAGTTGTAGTTGTAGCAGTAAGTAGTAGTAGTTGTTAGTAGTAGTAGTAGTAGTAGTAGTAGTAGTAGTAGTAGTAGGAGGAGGAGTTGTAGTAGAAGTTGTAGCAGTAGTAGTAGTAGTAGTAGTAGTAGTAGGAGGAGTTGTAGTAGAAGTTGTAGCAGTAGGTAGTAGTAGTAGGAGTTGTAGTAGTTGTTAGTAGAGAGGAGAGGAGTTGTAGTAGAAGTTGTAGCAGTAGTAGTAGTAGTAGTAGTTAGGAGGAGAGGAGGAGGAGGACTTGTTGTAGAAGTTGTAGCAGTAGTAGTAGTAGTTGTAGTAGGAGCTGTTGTAGTAGTAGGAGTAGTAGTAATTGGCCTGGTAGTAGTAGGACGAGGAGTAGACATAGATGGTAGGCACAGGAGTAGTAGGAGTAGTAGCAGTTTTAGTTGTAGTAGTAGTAGTAGGAGTTGTTGTTGTTGTGGGTGCGGTAGTAGTTGACCTAGTAGTAGTAGTAGTAGTAGTAGTAGTAGTTGTTGTGTTGTTGTGGTTGTTGTAGTAGTAGCAGTAGGTGTAGAAGAAGTTTAAGTAGTAGTTAGTAGTAGTAGGAGGAGTTGTTGTAGTAGTAGGAGTAGTAGTAGTTGTAGTAGGCCTGGTAGTAGTAGTAGTATTAGGAGGAGTAGTCATAGGCGGTAGGCACAGGAGTAGTAGTAGTTGTAGTAGTAGGTGTAGTAGTAGTACTCGCAGTAGAAGTAGTAGCAGCAGCAGTTGTTGTTGTTGTAGCAGTTGTAATAGTAGTAGTAGTTATTGTAGTAGGAGTTGTCGCAGTAGCAGGCATAGTTGTAGGAGTAGTTGTAGTTAAAATATCGTACCTCACAAACAACCCTTGTACAGTAAAGTGTTTTTTACAATGTCATGTCCGACTCTTTGCATAAACTCACCTCAGCTCATGTTTATGTTAATGAGTCCTTCACACTGACCGCTGCACACAGACCGGAGTGTGTCTGAGAGTTTGTTTAGCTGATGCTGACGAACGCACAAACAGGCTTCGTTCACTTCAGACAGACGACATTCGCTTATGATTCATTTCAGTCGAATCCTGACGTCCTGGAGTTTGGTTGAAAAAGACTGATTAAGTGTTTCCAACGATTTCCAGACACTGCAATTTATTTCAAACTTAAAATGATTCTCTTAGAGTTGAATGAAAATATGTCTTAAGCCGCCACACTCCGCAGCATAATTTCCCTGATTTAAGCTGCTCTCTGATTTCGGAGACCCAACTTTAGATCCTCGTGTGTGAGCTGTCCGTGCGACTCTGAGCTGCTCTGTCAGATCGTAACAGTAAAACATCACGGCAACAGCCAACTGATTGATGGATTTCTTGTTATTTTGAGTTTGTGCCAAGACAGAAATAATAATCGTATACATACAACATATACTGTGCGAGACGCTGCATCTCAAGGGTCTGTCTATGAATAAATTCAAATATACATTGTAAACAACAGAAAAGCACATTTCTCGAAAAGGAGAAGGAAGAAAAAAACTTATATTGACCCAGTCCTATTCAAACATTCCAGTAAAACAGAGCATCAGGGGCAGGTGGAGTGACGGACATAGAAGTGCGAGATACAAACTCAGGAAACAGTGAAAAGAATTACCGTATTTTTCAAACTATAAGTGGCTTCAGAATATAAGTTGCACCAAAATATGCATAATGAAGAAGAAAAAAACATATATAGGTTGCACTTTTGGGGGAAATTTATTTTATAAAATCAGAAACCTGAACCGACATTTCATCTTTAAAGTCAAGTTCTAGTAATAACAATAGAACAGAGAACAACAGACTGTTAACGTCACATATGAACAGTTCTTCAGATAAACTATAACATAAACAACAGAACAGAACAAGTTTACCAAACTCTCCATCTCACTCCAAATCACTAAATCCACTGAAATCTTCATCCTCGGTGTCACTTCTGAGCAACTCCGTGACTTCCGGAGGTAAACAGAGCGCCGCTTCCTCTTCTGTGTCACTGTTGTCAGACTCAGCATCAGTTCCAGTTAGAATTATTTCAGCCTTTCTAAATCCCGACAGGATGGTTTTGGTGTCACTGAAGTCCAGGCTTTGTCGATCCATCCAGTGACTTCCAGGTTGCATGGTGCATCCTCCCGGTGTCACAAGTTTCTTGCTCACTCCAAACTTTCTTTCTGCTGCTCGATTAACATTTTCGGCTGAATATTTCACTACTTGCAGCTTGTAATCTGCAGAATATGATTTTCTTTTTGGGGGCATTTGTGTTCAGTCTTCTCAGTTGTCTTAATAAGTGGTACAGAAGGACAGAGGCTCTTTCTGCAGGAGACATGCGCAGTAGAGTGAAGTGGCAGTGGTACAGGAGGAACAGGAGCAGCAGATACTGACACACAAGACTAGAGACTGTCACGACTTCAGTGTGAACATTTTATTATTTAAGTCACATAGGAGTATAAAACGCAGGACCACCCAAACCATTAAAAAAGCGCGTCTTAGAGTCCAAAAAAATACGATAACTGCAGCATCTCATTAATATTCTGCATACAATTTGTCCTCTGTCTGTTTCATGCAGGGAGGATCTGGGTGAAGATGTCGCTATAGTAAAAACAACTCTTCTTCCTGTGTAACCAGCTTTCTGTTGCATCTAAACTAGACGTGCAATGCTCTGATATTTGAAACATTTTCGAGTATCAAAGTGAGTCGTTTTACTGTAGACAGGAAACGGCTGACAGCAGGGGCGCCACAGTCCTGACAGCTCACAACTTTTAGCTTGTCGTGCGCCGTCTCTTCGCCACAGTCTTAAAATCTTATGTTTTTCCTTGTATCTGTGGTTTGCTCTTTTACTCACAAGGTTAAAAATCGTTTAAGAGAGGGCTGATGTAAGGCCACAGACTGGTGTTCAATACAGTGAATGATTCAGACACGTGCATTTATAAAAGGTTTAGACTCTCATTAGGACACACTAAATATTTGACAGTTGGTGTAGATTAACAAAAACTTGTAAAAAGTACTGCTTGTAGTAATGTGGGCCAATTCATGAGTGTTTTGGACATGCAATTACGAAAAATGAGACACAAAAACTTGGATATTAAAAGTTCAAGAAAGTGTATTTATTTATTTTTTCTTTTTGTGTGAGCAAAACAAGACATACAGGAAGTGCTTCAGTGTGTTTTGTAGTAGTAGAAGTAGTAGGAGTAGTAGTAGTAAGAGTCGTAGTAAGAGTAGGGGTAGTAGTTGTAGTTGTAGTAGTAGTAAGACATGCAATAGTAGCAGCTGTAGTAGTTAGGGTTAGGCTTAGGGAGTAGTAATAGTAGTGGTAGGAAGGGTGGTAGTTGTAGTAAAAGTAATAGGAATAGTAGTCGTAGTAAGACTAGGAGTAGTAATAGTAGTGGTAGTAGTAGTAATTGTTGTTGTAGTAGTAAGAGTAGTAGTAGTAGTTGTAGTAGTAGTAAGTGTAGTGTTAGTAAGAATATTAGTTGTAGTAGTAGTTGTAGTAGTCGTAGTAAAAGTAGACGTAGTAGTTGTAGTAGTAGTGAGAATAGTAGTAGTTAGTAGGAGTAGTAAAAGTAGTAGTAGTTGTAGTTGTAGGAATAAGAGTAGTAGTAGTTCAAGTAGTAGTAGAAGTAAAAGTAGGAGTAGTAGTAGTAAGAATAGTAGTTGTAGTAATAGTAAGAAGTTGTAGTAATAGTAAGAATAGTAGTAGTAGTTGTTGTTGTTGTAGTAAGAATAGTAGTA